TTTGCGAAAGGTTGCGCGTTTCCTTGTCTCACAGAGTAAAGGAGGCGTCGATTTCGAGCTTCACGGTCCCTATCAACGAAGTGCCGGTCGAATTCGTCGAGAAGTGAACTTGAGTAAAATTCTTTAGCTTTAACTTGTTTCTCAAAGAAAGGCCCCACTCGGCTTCTGTGCTCCGCTGGTAACGTCTGCATAAGTGCAAGGCAGACGCCTCTTTCACCACCAAAACCCTTGATGATTGCTGGGTCCTCCGCTGCTACTCGCCACATGACTGAGCATAAAGAATATTGATCAGGTGTTCCATCCCAAGTTGTGAACTTGTGCTGTACTACGTCGGTTTGGTTTGTCATTGTGGCTTTAATATTTCTGGTTTCGTGTTTAGTTGTTGCGATTTTTGATTCAGGCGTCTGTGGCTCTGGTTCCAGGGCAGGTCTGTGTGACTCTGTATTTGCACTTGAGGCGTCGATTTCTATCGCAGAAATTTCACGGAGAATACCTTCAAGGTTAAAATTGTCGTCACTACTCATATAATTGCGAGACGTCGCTGATTACAAGTGGTTTAGACTAAAATGGAGATTACAATCAATGTGATAGCATGAGGGTCAGGAAAGACTCTGACTAAAAGGCAAAACAATAATATGATTGTAATCTATGAGGAGAGAAAGACATGGTGGCTAACGCAATACTATATACACATAAAAGTGGTTCCTCACTGGTCCAAGCGTACATTGTAGCACGTGATTAGTGTCCTATGACATTATGCCGTCTACGAATTCTTTATTCTCGCCGATCGAGAGAGGCGAAAGTGCTGCTTCGACACTGTTTATTGCTGTCGAGCAGATGGCAAGGCGGGCCGTAATTTGCGTCGTACGCCGCTTTTCGGCCTCCATCACAGATTGCATCTCAGGGGGATACTCCATCGCTGTTGTCGAAGCTGCGCCTTCTGAGGCTGGCACGGCATTTTTTCCGGCAGGCAATTCTGCATGTTCGGTCGTCTTTTCTCTGACGATCTCCTTTCTTTTCCTGGAACTGCGTGCCTCGGGGGCCACCTCGGCGGGTTTCGCGGTCTATTGACCATTTGTTTCTGTTCTGATCGGGTCAGAATTGGTCATCTCTTGATCGGGAAGTGTGGAAGACTTCCCAGGGATAAAGGCCTCACTCGCAAATAGGCTTGATAATTTTTGCGCGAGGCCAGATATTTTTGCGGGAGCCCTCGTGCGGACTCTCGCGTTGTCCAACATTGATTTTGTGAGCTTTTTTCGAACAGGTGGCATGGTTAAAATACCAGTGACTCGATGATAATTCAATAAGGTAATGCGACGAGCGCGAGAGGGAGGGAGAGGGGGGAAAAGGTGAATATTTGAAAATTCGAATTTCAAAAAATTGTAGGTGTGTGCGTGTGTGTTTTTATTGTACTACTTGAATCTATGACTATCTAGCACATTGGGCTCCTCTCTGACCTAGGCCACACCTTGTACAGTGCTCCTTGCCTCTTTTGTTACTTGAAAAATCATTGATATATTACCCTTGATGAATAACCATTCAGCTCAGTGTTTACCCGTGGAATTCAGCCACCTTTTCCACGGAACCTTCTACCCAAAAAAAATAAAAAATGGTAGCAATGGAAACTGCGTACGCGGGAAAAAGTCTCAAAAAACCTGCAGCCCCAGCCAGGCGAGACCTAGACACCGGGACCACATGAGGTGCGCATATTCATCTATATCTCCCTTCTTTGTAACAGTCGAGGCCATCTTGATCTAATCCGCCATCTCCGTATCGGGAGCTGGGTACGCTCTCGAAACTCATAGGATGGTTTTTCCTCCATGATCAAGGGTTGGTGATGAGTAAGACTCCGATCTTACCATCTGATCTAATCGTGGTTAGCCTCATAAAAATGGTGATAGGGGGATGTGTTGAGAGATGAAGACGATACAGACCGCGAAAGCGATTGGGAATCCTCGTCAAAGTGAGGACTTTGTTACTCAATCTCGGCTCTGCAGACTCTACAGTGAGAGCAGGAGGTTCGTAGGGGACACCACTGACAGGTGTTGAGAATAGTCTATTGAAAGGCTATGCTGAGCTGGAATGACGTACCGTTAGGATGAAGGTATGGAAGGAGGTAGCTATGGCTTTAAGAGAAGTAAAGTTCGTGAGTTATACTCTTAGGACTTGGATCAATGGACGAACTTGAGGATATTCCCTAGTATTCTCAATGTGTGTAATAATATGGAGATTGTTATAATTTCCTATTGTATGAATTGCTTGAGTTATCTACGTGACAGGATCTTCTTCTGTATACATGAATAAGGGGGTTTTGCACACTAGTGGATGTTCTAACATCTGTCCTTGTCTAACCGAGAAAGGAAGGATGTGAGAGATCCTAGCGCCAATAGATACCATTAGGAATCTATTGGGAAATACTATGTCATACCAATGAGTGATGATTTAGGTCAATCATATCCCATGGCGCATGTGCACATTATTCTAATGTGAACAGTTTATTGTAATGCAGTCATGTTACTCCCTTAATTACAACATAGTCCCCCTAGAGGGGTCTGTAAATCTGTCGTGGAAAGTTGTCGGTTACTCCTACTAGGACACAGAGTGATATATAAACTATATTCTGTAATAAAATAATCTAGTGGTTGGTATTTACGTCAAAGCGCATTGATACTAACCTTTAACGTCAAAAGTCATCCTACATGTATACATAGCACCGGTCATGTGTCATAGCTTGATAGCTGCATACACACTAAATGATTTAAAAAAAATACTAACCTCACAATTAATGGGGGATTAGTGACGCGTATTCTACATATCCCTGTTTTTGCCATGATTGAAAGCACCAATTTCGACATCAATGATCTTTCAAGTAACAAAAGAGGATAGGAGCACTGTACAAGATGTGATCCGGGTCAGAGAGGAGCCCAATGTGTTAGATAGTCATAGACTCAAGTAGCACATTAAACACACACATAAGTTGTATTTTCAGACACCTACTTGATAGCCCCAAGTATTCCAACTTCTAACACAAAATGGTGAAAAAGGAGTTGATGCGCCCCAACAGTACACAAGTCTTATACAAATATATGAGGATTTCTGGGCTGCACCTAGAACTCATCAGGTGCTCACATCTGAGGCCTATGTTGTAATCTGTGCCGAGACACATCTAGGTATTTAATAATCTTAAAAACTATCACTTGTTTTCTCTACCACCTCAAATGTACACTACCGAAAATATTACAAAATAGGCCAGTTTAAAATTCCTTGAAAGAGGTTGATTTGAGGATTTTTGTCTTCGGATTACGGCTACAAGAAGTAAATCGTATTCTACGAGTAATAATCGAAGCCTCTCAAAACCCGGAATATATTCTCTTTGACTGGCGTGTCATGATACCATAAAAATCGGAGATTCATCACTTCGCTTCGAGCCCATACAGCTGCTTGTGTGTTCCCGAGTAGCTCGAAACACTGCCATACGCCAAATTGCATCATTATGGAATATGATATGGAGGGCTCGCTAGTTTAAAACAATAGATATTTCTCTTGTCAAGGCACTCCAGCTGGGCCTATTTTCCCAGTATAATTTGAGCATTTTGCTGCTTTGGATGGAATGAATAGGCTCAAGAATCGTGTCCGAGCCATTTCTCTCCTCGAAGTGGTATATAGACGGACGGCAATGAAGGGACTAAAATTACACTACTTCCTCCTGCCCCCGGAAAATCTGGAGATGCATTAGTCATTGGTCGCAAGAGTAGCCCAAGCATCACCAATGAGATGGTGCCGACGGGCCAGATGATTCGATCCCACCGTTCGGGGAGACGCGGAGATATTTCTGTTTCTCAGTAGGGATCAGGGGCTGAAGTGGCTTGGATCGGCGGGTTTTGAACAGCGCTAAGCTTTTGACGGGCGCGATCTATCTGGTGATCGATAAATGGATAGGCGACAAACGACTTGGTATTGCCATTGGTGCTCAAAACATGTCAGCCTCGCACGTGCTGACACGAGGCTTTGGCCATGACATCATATCTTTGCATAACTTGATTGATCAGAGTCACGCTTGATAAGTCACTTAAACATCGTAGACATACAGGATAGTACATCTCGGCTCGCAGTACTATTTCCAATGTCAGTAGTTGCATGTAGATAATTTTCACATGTCACTAGACTACCTGCATGACAAAAAATTCATTACAGTAATCCGTCATTCTGTACTTCGTACGCGTCTATTCACGGATAAGAAAAAAAATTGAAACTCAGGCTTACTTCTAGTTCAATTTATATTGCTCTGGTAATCTGAATCCTTTTCCTTGCCATCCGATAGCAAATATACAGCTACGAATGAGTTCATCCCACGCTAACATGATGCGCAGTCAAAAAATTTACAACCCCTTCTCAACGGGCATTCGTAAAATGAAATTATCCGGTCTGTATTTTGATTGACTGGATGAACATAGTTTTACTCTGACGTAGGAATTACCAGCCCTGTATTTTTATTCATGGTGTCTACCACATGTACGAACCAGCCGTGTCGCTCTTCAGTTTCTGTCCCTGGTTATCTCCAGCGCCCTTACCCTCGCTTGTAGAATTATCTTACAGTACAGACGGAATATAATTCCAATATTTAATTCGGAAGATATTTCAAAAGTCAGACAGCAGTCTCGAGCGTGCGTTATTTATCGGTTCTTTCCTTTTGTAGCTTTCGTCTTGTTCTAATACACGCTCTGCGTGTTGAGTCTGTGTCAGAGTTGACTATCTGAAAATTAATCAGTCTTGTAATATTTTGAGCTTCTTGGCTAATTTCATTTAAATGAAATTAGTAGACAGAGTTGGTCATGTGCCGGGGCTAGCAGTTGCTTTGAGATATTGGAACATGCGGGCCAATTATTGACTACCTTAGCTGAAGGGCGACAGGAAACTATCCCATCTGCGTAATAGCTCGGTATGTATCGGTAAAATCCTTTCAATACCAAATCTGATGGCGTGGATCTAAGATTCAGATTTCAGGGTGCTACCGAGTGACGACGCTGACCTTTGTGCATGGTGATCCGACCTGTCATACGGTTGGTCATGCGCCTAGTCATGCTATTAGGTGGTTTGTATTGGTCATTGAAGGTATGATTTTGATCTTCGAGAGTGTCTTCATCCTCATTTGGGTGATCGTTAACGATGGAACTAATCAAATAATGAAGGTCGCGCGACCAAAAAGAATGAATCTGTCGGCCATTTCTAGATGCACCTTCGATAGGCACTATTGTGGGTCTAGTCATCAAGGTCAGGGATCAACACAATTTTACTAGGGAATGAAAATGGCATCACATACACTTGGCTGATCAACGGCCCTGTGCCTTTTTCTTCTTCGTCTACCGTGACATTGCTATCCACTGATAGATTTCTTTTTTCCTGGTTGAAACATCGGCGCCATGTTTTTTTCCAAATTTCCTTCAGTACAAATCCTAGTGCGGCGAAGACAAGTACAGGAGTGCCAAGAGCTACTGCCCAGCTAGGCGTCTCGACATCACCGAGAACAATCCAAAACTGCAGAATAACGCCCAAAATGGCGATATTGGAGCCAACCTGCAGGATTGACCAGAACCCCCAGTACAGCATCATCAAGTCTTCACCGTCACAATATTCAATATTGAACGCTGCAAAACACTCAAAAACGGTGCATGTCACGGAAAAAAAAGCGCACAGCGTGACAAGAGATAAGTAACGGACGCGTCGTCGTCGCACCGCAAGCTTATGTTCTTGTGATTCGGCTATTTCTCTTGGAAGTTTTTTCGTTGCCTCGCCAAGAGCAATTGATCTGTAGAAGAGGTTAGCTTGAAAATGCAAGTTGCAGGTATGCTTGGGGACTGAGTAGACTGACTTGTGGTGTATAATGGAAGCGATTGACAGTAAGAGAATAACCTTTGCTCTATTAGCTGGGGCCGGACACTAAAACCTCGAGTTTTGAGGAATATTTGCCACTCACTGTACCAAATAAGCTCCAAAAGATAAGATTAGCTTCCCATAGTTCGAGATGTTGGAAAAATCTTGCATAGTGGGCACAGCGCTCTGGATTTACGTCACTGAATTGACCAGTCATGGTAAAGAAACGGCAGAAGGGTTTGGTATGAGTAAAACGAATTTGTGCGTTGTTGTCGTAAAGATTTGGTGATCTAGCTAACTGGACTTATGGATGAGCTTTATCGAGAGATAGTGGCCGTATCTAGGAGGAGAGAATAACGAATGTTTGTGTCGTTACGTTCTGCGTAACGGTAAAAGCGTTGGTCTTTGAGAGATCTCACAAGATTCAAGAGCTGAATATTGGATTAAGACAAAGAGAGTTGTCGACAGTTGCTAAATGAAACTTTGTCCATTAGATAACCTCCAAATGGGAAAGCAGTGGGGTTATAGATGGAGAAACGAGGTGATTTGGAGCACGTGAGTCATGGGTTGGAGTCTAGATTCAGGGTACATGGAAGTCCGATTTGCATCCAAGGCGAGGGAGGGGTCATGACATGGACCACAAAAGAGCGAAAGGGCTGAGGATGTTTGAAGAGCCGGTGAGACAGACTGGCAGGTCCACCCAGCCGGCTAGCCCCAGACCATCTACAGAGTGAGGCTGGAAGGGAAGGAGGGGTCATGGAAGAAAATATAACCGGGACCGGGACGGGGGCTCAGGGCAGGGCGGCCACGAGTAAACAGCCATGCAATCATCCACATCAAACGGCACCTAATGTAATAAGCTGCGCAAGACGTTGAGGCGACCTACGCAGACGATGACGACAGTCACGGCGATGATGATTACAATTATGCTCATGGTGATAATTATGTGAGCAATAACATGGTCAACAGCACCTGCCTCAATCAAGTGCTAGCTAGGATTTAGCTCTGACTCCATAATTATGATAGTTTATCCCCTCCTGCGAGATTGTAATACAAAGGTTGGCATGGCTTATAATTAGTCCTTGTGATCTATGCCGGATTTGACCTTCCAGAGTGTGCTAATATGGAGAATATTTGGGGCGTATCTGGGTGGATGTCAATGCTCTGCTTACCTATACCCATGAATTGGGGATTGAACATTCTCGAACTTGCGCCCACTCATTTTGCTGCCAAACTGAGAAAACATAGCAATTGTGCAACAGAACAATTTTAACTATTTAACTCTGTCAAGCCATGAGATTTCGACTTGGAATAAACCATACTCTGTGAGGGTCAAGAATAAGTAGGGAAATGGGACTCATTGTATTGACTCTTCATGATCGCTCCAGCGTTCAATTTGATCCTAAAGAGAGTATACGGTGGGCATAGAGCTCTTCTAATTTGAATCTTGAGAACCAGCGCCAAGCTAGCCCTCATTTTCCTTGATTTAGTGTGGAATCCTCCTCGAATTTTGCTACTGTCTACCAAAATCCTTCCCGAGGCCTTGCTACACCCGTTCTATAGAAAGCGAGAGCCTTCCACATTTCGAAGTAACCTGGGACACTATAGAACAATAAATATCAAATAGAACCATGCCTAGGATATTGAGCCTCTCACGTTCCTAATTTTCGTTGTTCTCTAGCCTCATAATCATTCGAAACAATTATTTGTCTGGGACTCTACAGCTGAATCTACATCAACGCGCCCAATTTAACACATGCAGTCTCTCGAGCCATCACTCTCTGGTTAATATCATTCCTTCAATTAAAGCTCCTAGTTTTATTTACATTACTGCCTAGATCATCCATCAAAAATTTACTAATGCTAAACCTATTTTCTCGAGATTCAAGCAATTTACCTGGATAAGAGTAAGTATTCTCATGGGATCCTATATCAGTATTCAAAATTATCACTCTACCGACTCATTTTGAAAATTATACAGGCCGTCTGACTCAAACCTTGCGATTAAATGTTTCTAGTTTTCCCGTATACCGATGGCGGTCTGTTACAACATCTTCTTCCCATGGATCTAGTTAGCAGATACTAGCAAACAGCAGCTTTATTACATGGCGCATGCGATGTCAACTTGTTGGGCTGCCTACGCTGATCTTGTAGTTCAAGCTGCGCGTAAGTATAGTTTAAGTTATTAGGCCAAGGATAACCCTAATTTAAAGAGGCCGAGCTTACAACTAAAGGTTATATCGTCGCGAGATCCGTAATTCATTTCATCGGCTAACCTGCTGCTAGGAAGTGGAGACGATCAAGGGGGCTGAAAGGCAGAATTTAGCACAGAATATTTATCGCGGGATCATCCGCAACGATGTTGAGCCTGTACAGGGAGCATTTGACGGCATGTAGAGCAGCACGCCACGTCAGATTGAGTGTAGATCTCTTCTCCCTCTGACTGACCTCCGTCATGAGCAGACACATTCAATTCACTCGATGGAGCGCAGCGACAAGATCGGAATCTTTTCGCCATTTCGCGGGCATACATGGGATGTACTGCAGAAGAGGGGAAGTATCGGATATTTTTAGGATCCATCGCTGCACAGACACTTTTCAACCCATAGTTCAGCAGTCCCCAGCCATTTCAGGGGCGCGTTGTCTCCCGGTCACTAGCGTTAGGCGGGCGTCTCAGAACGACGTCAAATGCCTAGTAGGGCTGGATCGCTGACTGGCATGGAACTAAGGAAATTTTTCGCAATGGCATGCGATGAAGAAAAAATGACATTGGGCGCCCCAAATCTCGCGGACCAACTGGGATAGGCTAGCTATTGGTTAAATAACGCTGATTTTTGAGTTGAATGTGAGGGGTTCTCCTTCATTAACTCCAAACAAGAGCAGGATTGTACTTTCAGCAAACCGCTTTACTCTCAAAGATACGAGCCATCGACGATAAATGGACTTGGAAAACGATAGCGAAACCTGGTATACGAGTGTAGACGGAGATGTAAGATTACAAATAGGTGATGCTTGCTTGGCGTGTTGGTGGAGAAATCTAGGTAGGCAGGCTAAACGATATCACGGGCTTGACCCGTTGAGTAGCCTACGAGACTTTTGGCCACATTGGAACAAGTTGTATTATTTTTGCTGCAATGTTTTAAAACTTTGCTTTTCTCTTTTGGGAATTGAAGCTTGTTAGCTTTTGTGTAAGGTAAGCAGCGTGTTACTACAAGCCAATACAGGATCAGAAGGTTTAATTTTAGATACTACAAGGTGACGATACGATAGTGGATACTACTGGAAGGCCCACTGAAATGCTAGTTGTGTCAGCCGGGACGTTTACGCCTTGATCCAAGTCTTCTATTTTCTGGACTGGATATCTCCGTCAGGGAGATTTGGATAGAATATAATTTTATGTCCCTGCTGATTCTATGACTATGAAGGACAGCTAAAACTATCTAAATAGCTTTAAAATTAATGGTAAATTTGGATATTGTTGTGCTTAATATTTGCCAATGGTTGATGAGGGTCATGTCCTAGACGGAGATATGAAGATACTGTGTAAGGAAATAAAATTAGAGAGTATCGTGTTCATACTACACGTAAAAGACGGGGATGCGGGGGCGATAAGTATGAGCGCCACAATCAAGGCGTGACACCCCCCCATAAACTCTTTGCGCGCACGCCGTACAACTGCTCTTGTATCTCTTTGTGACCTTAGGCGCTACATTGTGAGATGCCTCAACTCTAAATGAAATACATGATATGATCTCGGAAGCCCAGATAAAGTGGGGGCTTGTAAGACCAAAACAGTGTATGTTTCCAGGTCCAAAATTGATAGGAAAAGCTAGCCAATTCCTAGATTTTTCGGATAGATAGATTTGAGCGGAAAGAAATGATTTCAAGAAATTGAGGAGTCATTAACGGACGGGTTAGTCTAGGTTTGTTATCCTTAGGATGATGAAACTTTACACTCAGGCTACGGTTTGGGGATAAATTGATGTAGCTTGATGAAAGTGGTGTCAGAGGGAAATTGAGCCAAAATGTACGAGAATAGTCAATGTTGCTCGTCCCCAGTTGCGGGAACTTTTCCTCTGTCATGATGATGGGAGGCATCTTGAATGCCGGAGCCTGGTTCAGGGTGTGATTGATTTCGGGCGCTGCTGAGCTTCTAGACACTGCCTGGCCGAGGAATGCCAATCTATGCTGCGGTGACAAGGACGCGTTGTCGGGCTCGGGGAATTGCAGTTTTCAAAGGGTCAGATTAAAGTTACGAGGACCTTAAATGTTGGGGCAGAGGAGACGACGAATGCGGTTTAGGCCCGACGCGCTGACGGGTGAACCTCTTCAACGCAGGGGATGGTGGCGTGAGATTAGGCATATCTTCTCCACCACGATGGCACCACATACATCAATACCCCCATCTGGCAGCTTCGGGCCGCTGCTACAACGGTCGTTGCTGTTATCAGGGCCGAGGCGTGGCACGTGACTCTGGAGGAGACGAGGGGGCGCGCATGCAGTGGAAAGGTCCAGATATTTCCGACACTACCGACGCGAGGTACAACATGGTTCAAGAGGCGCCATGGAATCGGTATGACGAGCAGAATTCTTTGGTAGCAGGTCAGGGGTAAGTAGGGACGGGAGTTGAGGTGGATGGGGAAATACAGGGATCCCGGCTCACACCTCGTATGGGGGCGGGCGTTGATGTGAGTGCCACTGTCGCTACCAGTGAGCCAGTCGCCCGGGCCTTGGGCTCGCCTACATGTGCATCACCCACATCGACGCGCTCGTCATGTCATGTGTAGAGGCCGTGGATGGGCGGGGCTGAGGATCCCTAAGCGCGGACAGTGAGGAGCTGGAGACGAGGTACGAGCGACGTCTTACCACTAGTGGAGGAAGACGAGATCGCTACTCAGGGCAATAGCACAGAATGTATATAGAGCGTAGTAGTTGATAGAGGAAAGGCTAGACAACCTTCTGCTTAACTCAGACTTCGATATTGATTGCTCGCTGAATCTGATATCGTGAGTCTCGGGCGATAATAGTCTCAATTACCTACTAGTGCCACGAGGGCCCGCTCACCTGCGCGCCGCCATGCACGAGCGTTGGCTGGGGATACGAAGAGGCGAATGAAAAGGTGCTGCGGACCCGACCATCCCAGCGGCCATCCGGCGTCTGCCCGAGCTTGGTGCTGCTACGCCAGCACATTCTGGCTCTGCAATACAGAAACTCGGC